GGACCCCAGCATCCAGTGCCATCAGCTGCCGCTGTGGACGCGGACGCCTGGCTCTGGCAGGTGGAGGAACATGCCCGGAGCTTTGTGTCAAGTGAGAGGATCAAGTCGGGCCCAAGGACTCCAAAACCACGATTTTAACCACTACTCTCAGTATTCACAAAACAATTTGAAGATATTCAAATTTATTGTGGGGGCTTTCCTCTATAGAGCTCTGTGAGTCTGTTTTATTGATTGTTTTCATCATGTGGGCAAAGGTCTCGATACAATTTCAAGTGTCCTTTTCTTCTCTGATCTATGCAGTTAAGTAGGATCGGTAAAGTGGGCCCTTCTCCATCTTGGACAAGTTTGATCGGTTTTTAGCCTGAGGTGACTGGCCATCTGTGACCAAGGGAAGTTTGCCATCGTGGTCAATGACGCTCAGACGACCCCAGACCAGTTGCTTTATTTCAGTCCACTGCCCTCTGTAAAGTTGGAGTCGGAGTGTCTGCCCCACGCAGCTAAGAGGCAACCGGCCCGAGGTGAGCACCCAGCATGCCGAGGCAAACCGTGGTGCACATCACGCTCCTCCACGGCCAGACACGTGTGCTGTGCCTAGTCCCTCCTGATGCCTGCCTGCTTTTAACTCCTGGGCTCCCGGCTGAGGAGTAGAGCACAGTCCTGTGGCTCAGAACCCACCAGGAAGGGGCGCCTAGGGGGCTCAGGCTGTGACGCATCCGCCTTCGGCTCAGGTCCTGGGTCCTGGGATCGAGTCCCAGGTCTAGCTCTCTGCTCCGCAAGGAGACTGCTTCTCCCGCTCCCTCTGCCCCCGCCCGTTCATGCTCTCTCAAATAAAATCTTAAAAAAAAAAAAGCCTTCCTTAAGTTTTAAGTTTTTGGAAAACCAAGAAGACATCATTAAATGATGTAACCAAAAATCATCCACTTTTAAGTGGGGGCAGTGGAGTTGTGTTTTAAAATACAGCTATGGGGGCACCTGGGTGGTTCAGTGGTTAAGCATCTGACTCTGGATGGTGGCTCGTGTCGTGATCTCAAGGCTGTGAGAGCCTCGTGTCAGGCTCCGTGCTGAGTATGGCGTCTGCTTGAGATTCGACCCCGTCCCAAACACAGGCCCCAACTCTGGGATTTGTTAAGGCTGGAAAATTCTGCATCCCAGGTCCTGGGGTCTGGCAGGAGAGCTTAGTGTAGATGAATAGTCTTGCACGTCCAAGTCTGCAGAGTAGAGCTGTTTTTAAAGAAAACAAGTGGAAAGACTTCTCCCACCTGTTCCTCGGGACGCTGCAGACTCCCACCTGCCGGCCTGGCATGGGCTCTTCACGGGGAACGTCCTTCGGGGCAGGACTCTGCTGCTCGAGGGAAGCCTCCTCAAGCTCACTTCTGCAAGAACTCTCCCCAATGGGATGACTGCTTTTCTTTCCCTTTTCTCATAAACACAAATGTGCAGTGGGTTTGTATACACTCAATGCTTTCTCCAAGATCTTTTTGTATTAATTAAACAGGCTCCATGCCCAGTGTAGAGCCCAAAATGGGGCTTGAACTCACAACCCTGAAATCAGGAGTTGGACACTTAGGCAGCCGAGTCACCTAGGTGGCCCTTTCCACGGAGATCTCTAAATGTAACAGGGCATCTCGGGGCTCAGGCGGTTCAGTGTCTGCCTTCCGCTCAGGTCATGATCCCGGAGTCGTGGGATCGAGCCCGAGGTCTGGCTCCCTGCTTGGCGGGGAGTCTGCTTCTCCCTCTCTGCCCCTCTCCCCTGCTCCTGCACACGCTCCCAAATAAAATCTTAAAAATAATTATATAATTATTTACTAGGAAAGATATTTTAATTTCAAACTGAAAGCATATTTTCTCCATTAATCAACATATGCAATTCCTAACACGCGGTGTTAGATACAGTAATATTTTTGAGCGAAATGGGGCAGGCACATGATTCCTTTATGATCGGGTTCCTGGGGCACCTGGGTGGCTCAGTCGGGCATCCGACTCTTGATTTCAGCTCAGACTGTGATCTCAGAGTTGTGAGATCAAGCCCCACATCAGGCTCTATGCTCAGTGGGGAGTGTGCTTGGGATTCCCTCTCCCTCTGCCCCAACCCCCTGTGCTTGCTCTCCCTCTGAATAAATAATTCTTCAAAATATAAGTAAAATCCAAGTGTTCTCTGAATTCTCCTAAAATAATCCATGATTGCACAATTGCCCTTTATTTTTTTCAAAATTTTTTAGTAATCTCTACACCCAACATGGGGTTGAACCCACGACCCCAAGGACTGAGTCACACATTCCACCAACTGAGCCGGTCAGGCGCCCCTGACACAACTGCCCTTTGGAAAAGACACTGCGACAGGTGAAGCGATAAAGTGGAGCACACAGGTAGGTATGGGGGCGTCAGATTCAGCCAATCAGCCATTTGAGGTTGGAAGAACACAAGGACGCTCAGCACAAGGTCTTATTCATTCTGTTTATTGGACTGAAGGGGATACAAACAATTGGGTAAGTGCGACGCATGGACATGGAAAAGGTGTATTAAAAAAAAAAAATCCCAGTAAAGCAAATCAAAGTTAATGGAGTTTCAATTGAACAAAATTTTAAAGACGTTTAATATACTACACATTTATAAAACAAAAGTTAACAGGGTGTTTTGTAAATAATTAGTAGAACAAGTGAAAATAAATATCAGAGACCTGAAGTTTTTATGCTTTAATGAAATAATAAAGCGAAGAAATTTAAACTACTAAATATAATCTGAGAGGCAGTTAAAAAAAAAAAAACAAAAATACCAGAACCCCCCAAATTTAAGAACACAATTCTCTGAAACACTGAATCCATCCATAGCAAATAGTTATTACAGACCAAAAGCTCTAAGTGTCAGCTAGTTCCACCACAACGCCATGGAAATCTGGACAGTTTAGGCATCTTGAGATCAGCACGTAAGTTCTTTTCTTGATCTCTCCAGCTTGGTTTGTAAGTACAAACATGCGTCTGTGGGTCTGTCCCCTCGCGCCACACACACACACACACACACACACACACACACACACACACACGTTTTCAAGGAGCCAACGACATGTTTTTTCCATCTGTGCCTAAAAATGTTACGATTCGGTTTTAGCACATTGACCCTGATAATGAAAATGCTTGAGTCAAAGATGGGAACACATCTCAATCTTATAAAAATAGAGCAGTATTAAGCAGACCCTAAACTCGAGAGAGGGCACTTCACACGTGCATGAGACTAGTAAAATTGACAAGAACCCAGAAAGTGGTTTCTAGGACTTTTGATGACTTAAGTACGCTCTCTCCCCCACACGGACACACGACACACACACACACGCACACATTTTTATACTATTAGTTTCATTAAATCCAGCCTATCTGGATTAAATAGGGGATGGGTTTTTATAGTTTTTGTTTCTGCAACTATAGGGGCAGCTACTGAACAATAGCTTAACAACACTGGAAATTTCAATTCACCCTGTTTTTAGAAAGTGTCTATGTGTAAATAATGCAGATTCACCTCTTCTTTTAAAGTTAGCCGTTTGTAGGAAATCAGATATGGTTTTGAAAATGCAAGTAGTATTTTGGAGAGCAAGGCCAAGAGAGAGCTGCTGAAACCTAAATGAGAGGCTAGTGGAAAATTAAACCGGGATGTTGGTACACTGTAGAGCTGGGACACAAAGGAGATTAAGAAAAAGGTCTTCTTTCCTCCCCATTCAAAAGCAGCCACTCTTCTGCTGTCAAAGAAACGGACACACAGAGCGCCCTTTCAAGAGATGTGCAGTCTATTTAGCACTGAGCAGAGGTGATAGGGTCAGTTCGTGTGCAGGAAACAAGAGCCTAAAAAAGAAAATTTCAAGATGGGGAGGGGTGGGAAAGAAGGGTTTTCTATTAATGTCTCAGAATGCCGTTCTAGAGGGAGAACACGCCCAAGAACAGAAACTGCTCTCTCTGGGTGTGGGTGTTGATGAAAACACAGACCATAACTGGGACTTTTTTTTCTTCCTTTCAACTAGCCGGTTCCTTTCATCACCTTGTCTGGATTTAGAGCTAGGTAACCCCATCTGTTCTCCCACCCACTAAAATGGGCCCATCTGTTGGGACGCCTGCCAATTTCCTCTTCTGAGATGACTTACCTGGTTTTATATGACACGTTGGCCTGGCCTAGGACAGTAGCAGAAACGGAGCCCATTAGGGAAGCTATGTCGGCCCCCCGCCCACACTGGACCCTCACCCCTGGCTCTTCATCCCCTCCCTGCCCCAGTCCTGCTCAAGTCCGACGCTGTACTAGTCATAACTGATTGTTTGGAGGAAAAAGACATTTAATTTCATACTTGCTCCAGCCCTCAATCAATGAACGACAACAAAAACATTTTTAAGCACATGGACATGAGCCTACTAACCTGATTTTTGGAGCCCAAATTCTCCACTCTATGTTTTAATCTATATGCAAAAAGTATTGGTACTTTTCAGTTTATACATTTGTTAGCCTCCTGCGCTGGCTGGCCCGCGTCCTCGCTCTCCAGCCTAACAGCACTATCAGGCGATCCTAGGTCTCTGCCCCGTGACCTCACTTAGCATGGTCCCAACGCAGCCCTGGGGGGCCCACTGCCTCGGCCAGCCCGGGCATGCTCTTCCCTGGCCACTCTGAGGGCCCCTGCACCCTCGTCACCCCACGGCAAGGAGTTACACTCTCTGTGAAGTGTGCCTCACCTCTATGCCACTTTCTTGTGGTTTTGTTTTTTACAGTGTTTTTAACAGAAAAACTCTGATGTGGGGCTGGCTGGGGGAAGCCCGGGCCAGAATGGGGGCCAGGCTGGCCCTGAGCTGGCAGCACTCTCGGGGAGCGCCTGTGGGGCCCGAGGCACGCTGCGCTGGCTCTGCCCACCGCTGGTGCCCACCTTGCTGTAGCGACTGGGCTGCAGGGATGGCTTCAGGGTTTGGGGACTCACCGAAAACACGAGTGGGTTTAACTGCACTGAGGTAAAGAGAAGTTGCCACTTACTTATATACAGTTACCAATGAAGACTTTTATTCAAGCTCAAAGTAAAAAGTAATTTGAGTTAAGAAAAGTGAAGTACCAGATAAACTGTAACATATAGTTATTTGTAACTCAGAAGTATCAAAACAGGAATTCTTGATTCTCTAAGTGGTGGTCTCTGCAAAATGGAGCTTAAAGAAATCTTTTACATACCAATTTGATAAAATATCTGCCGACCACGGTCACTTTCTCTTACTATGAGCTTTTGGGAGAATCCGTGCTATTTTAAGGCCAATTGTGTTTGTCTTTCTTCTCCCCTCCTTGACTTGCCCACCTGTCCCTGGGGCTGGCCCTGCCCCGTGCCCATGGGAGGGTTCCTGACACCCAAGCCTTTCCTCGTGCTGGACAGACTGCAGGTGTGGCTGGACCCCAAAGGGGACTTAGTACAAGCCCCTTTCTTCACCAGAATCTGATCTTGGGGGTACTCCTACTCCTCCTTCCAGCGTAACAGCTGTGGTTTCCCCCCCTTCCCTGAGCTTCTGCAGAGAAGGGGAGGGAGTCTGGAAGGAGACCAAGTCAGCTGCATTCTGCTGTTAATGGGGTTTAAAAGCACAATGTGAACATCAGGCTTTTGGCTTATTCTAAATGTGAAATCCTCAAGATTCAAAGTGCTTTTCCTTGAAGGAGACCGTTCTTTAAACTAAAGGGGGAGGGGAGGCAAGGACTACCCACAGCACCAGTTTGAATGAGGCTTGGTATGGCAATATCGGGAAAACGGAGAAGGAGCGATCTGTCAATTTATGTATCTCTACAGGTCAGAATATCAAGGGCCATTAAGATCAAGGACTGTGAGGTTTTAAACCCAGTTGCGGTCTGTCTGGAACCTGCTGAATCCTTCTGACAAGCTCAAGGAGACTAGGAACTTCCCCAGTGGTTATGCCTCATCTCCGCTCTCCCGCGGGATTGCACCAGAACACCTTCCCAAGCCAGGAACAGCTTGGAACGGGCTTTGCTGCAAACCTAAGCTGACTCCTGATTTCTCCTGTTGGTAGAGATTTAAAATTCTCTTTTCGAATCTTGAATTTCTTCAACATCAGGTACTGATGTTCCATCAGGAATAAAACAAAAGGGGGGGGGGGACACCTTCACGGCAGGACTCTGGATTTCCTGGGCAATGTCCTTCAAGCACTGTTTCTGGGCAAGTCTCACATGGGATTCCAGAAGAGCATCAGTTATACTGCATATCTAAATCAGAGAGGAAACTTTTTGAAGCTGGTTTAGATTCCAAATGTATACAAATGAAGTCACTTTAATCCTATAAATACTTCTTAATTTATTTTTAAAAAATTGTGCTGTTAACCCTTTTACGGGGCAACAAGCTATGTGAAAAGTACAAAACTTTTTGTCAAATGTAATATTGAGAGTGCTTTTGACATAGTTCACTGGTTTATCGTCTGGATCAGTATATACTGCGCAACGGGCAAGGCTAGAATCCATGAACCAAGCTGCAAAGATCTCAAGCTAAATAAGGCGGAAAGATTTTGGAGAAACAAAAGAAGGAAATTCTTTCCTATCCAATGTATACTCTTCAGACTAATGCACTCCTTCTATCAAGCCTTCTAAACTGTTAAATAAAGTTTTCCAAACAAGCATTTAAACTTCATTACACAGAAGAGCAACAAGAATGGTATCCCACCAGACAAAAGGCAGGAGGGAAAAAAATATATATACTGAGTTCAATGGGTAAGCCTGAATGTAGCACAGTTCTTCACAACCGATGGGGGGATAATTCAACATGGTGTCCAACAACGTTCTAACGACGTGCTTCATCTCAACTGGTTACTATGAAGCAAGGTGTAAATGTTTGGCCCCAATCGGGCTTCAGAAATGGTTCTTTTTTCATGACGAGCATGTCTGTCCAGCTATCAATCATGTTTGTTTGCACCAAATCCCAAGCCATTAAAATACGACTAATTTTAAGTTAAACAGAAGTCGTCTGCTCCACATTCGCCATCAACTATCCATGCTACTGCATTCCTCTGAATGAAGACGGGATGAAATGTGTTTCGGGGGGGTGGGGGGGGAGAAGAGGGGAGGGGAAGAAAAAAGTCACCAGTTAGAAAGTTTTAATATCAGCATCATGATATTACAAAACGTACTACCACTGAGAACAATCACACCACAGCCAAGTTCTTGGTTATTTCCATCATCATCTTTAGAACAATGTGTCCGTGTTGTGTCTTAGCCTGTATATTATAGACTAAATTAATTACTTTGATTATTGGAGAACCCAAGTGAATAATCAAATTAGAATCTCATACTTTAAAAATGAACCTTCAAGTAGTTCTGTGGAACAGGAAATCTTTATGAATAGATGACAAAATAAGAGGGGGGGACGACCTGGTGGTCCAAGGTAGGAGGGCATCTGGGACCGCGTGCTTCACTCACTCAGCCCGAATTCTGTGCTATCTTCCAACTGTTTGTTTTTGGGAATGGGTCAACAAGCCTCCTGGACACAGCTGAGCGGCTCTAATAGGCACATTCACGGGCTGGACAACCATCTCATCACCTGTCAGCAGTCACACACAAATGCCAGCACCCAGCCCCCAGCAACCCCTCTGGTCTACTTTCAGTCTCCATGGACCTGCCCACTCATTTCACAAAAATGGGGCTGCACTAAGTGGTCTTCTGTGTCCAGTGTCTTTCACTTGGCATACTGATCTGAAGATCTGCGTGGCAGCGTTGGCCTGCTTAGTCCTAACCTACTTGACACTTTCCTTAAAACAACACCGTATGGAACTCTACTGTTAGAATGAAAGGTCAGCAAGTTTGTTTTTTGAAATGGGAGTCAAATATTTTTGCTTAAATGACTTACAGTATGCTAGGGTGTCATGATTTTTGAATGTCATTTTCTTCAGCCTCATCTATGTTTCCCAAAATTTCTATTCCAAACAGGTATTACTTTAGTTAGTTAAAAAAAAAAAAAAATTCAAGTAGGGGAAAGAACCCAGAAGATACCTACATAAAAGGCATATAGCCAAGTACCTAAGTTTTACAGAAACTGTCCTCCTGTTTCAGGTATCTGTGAATGTATTCCTGGGGCTGCACCTGCGTTGCCAGAACACAAGGCAGGGCCGTGGCGGTGGAGCGGACCCCACGAGGCCCAGCTCTGGCTCCCCTGCTGCCTCGGTGTCCATGGCCACTTGCTCTTCCCAACGGTGGGGCAGCACAGGCATCGTCTCTGAGCTGGGTCTGAGGTGTACCTGCTTACCAGGAAATTATCTATCTAATTTTCTCTGTGTCTCCAAATCGAACATGGCTCCTTGAAGAACAAACTTCCAAATGACTGATAAAACGAGAGAAGCACCTAGCATGGTTATGGATCTGTAAAACACCAGTTGTCCAGAGGGTCCTGGTTCCAGCGATGATCCCAGAGGCACACGGGCTGGTCCCGTGGGGACACGCAGACGCAGGAGGGCCTGCTGGGCTCTGCACACGTATGCAGCGGGTCTCAGTCTCACCCGCGTCCTCTTCCGGCCTGGCATGCTCACCCGACCGCGGGTGCTCCTTCTCGCTGACGTCTAGGTGGGACACGCGGGGAACAAAAGTCTCTTCATCTGTTTTCTGGGTGACTCGCTTCCTTCTAAGGAAACCAAACATTTCGCTTGCTGTTTGAAAGAAGAGCAGCATATCCTTCCCGTACGTATGAGCTTGCTCATGGCGTCTTCCCTCCAGCGCTGCTGTCTGGCTCAACTGAGCCATGTCCTCAAGGGACAACCCTTCCACCCGGCCTGCGCCTCTGTCTTCTCCCCCATAGAAACAAGGGTGGACCCTGCTGTCACAGGGCTGTGATGACGGTGTGCCAGCTGGCTGGACACGTCGCCTGGCCCTGAGGCACAGGGCAGATCGCGGTGTCCTTCTCTCTCCCGGTCACGCCCGGTGCACAGGGGGCCACACGGTGTTACGGGGACTTATTCGTAAGAACAAATCGTTCTGAAGTTGTTCAAATTTTGTAATATTAGCTAGTTCTTATGGGTGTGAAAGTAGAAAACGCTTCCTGCATCACGAAGCAAGACTTTCAAGATTCGTTGAGCTGAAAAAACTAAACAGCTACACAGCTATAAATGCGGTGGCGTGCTCCCCTTCGTGCTTCCCAGTGTCACACATGTGCACACATGCGTGTACCACAGACACACGACACACGCACCACACACACACACACCTGTATCTCAGGTTACTGAAAATCCTTCTGAGGAGAGAAAGTACACAGTCTCTAAAAGAGGGAGGAAATGAACTCTATCCCACACTTCCAAGTACTGCTGGGCCAGGTGTCACCAGGAGGAAACACGGGGATGGTGTGCGGTGGTGTTACCTTCGATATTCTGGTGGTCTATAAAAGGTGCTGGTCCCCATATTCTAACAGTGCCATCGTCTGAGGCGCTGGCCATCATGGATGGGATCTGTGGGTTCCAGCTCACACAGTTCACTGTGCGTGTGTGCCCTGTCAGCTCCGCGATTGGCAGTTCGCTACGTTTGTGCCAGATGTAAACCTTGTGATCTGAACAAACAGGAATTCAGAGAAAAGTCAGGGAATTGACTTCAGCAAAACCAACTGATCTGAAATTTATCATCATCACACACACGACACAGGACTCAATTATTAGAACTTAATATGACGTGAATAGTTGAATAAATCACCTTATGATCACCTTTTTGACCCAACAAACTTTTCCCCTGCTAAAGGTGACGGATTCTCTCAAGTCATCACAAACCCTGCCATGTTCCTTAGTACCTGAGAGGTGGATCACAGTAAAGATCTCCCGGTGGAAACAGACATAGGACAGAGCCGATAAACGCTCTGGCGATGGGCGGCGCCTGAGCTGCACTGCGCCAAGCCAACGGCAGCAGGAACGTGGGCACAGCCAACCCTCTGCCGGGCAATCTCTGCGGCCGGGTGCTCGTGTTTGGCTCCGCTGCTGTGAGGTGGGTGCCATGCTCCTGCCCTTCCTGGGGAGGGGGCCCGAACCGCTGCGGCCGCCCACCCAGGCTGAGTGGCCCGTAACTGGTGAGTCTTCACCTGTACAGGAGGACCAGACTCACCCCACTACGCAGTGAGGGTCCAACATGTTTGTGTATGAAGAGTTATGAAAAGCGCCAGGCACAGAGTATACCCCAGGGGTCATTGCAGGTGACGGGGGCACACAGAGGGCAGATCCCGCGGGAGGCACAGGAGTGTTCCGCGTGGAGACGTGGGAGCCCCCGGGGACAAGCTTCCCACTGGGCAAACTTCAGCGTGCTGCGGGGCAGCTCATTGGTGGTAACAGAGCATGTCCTGGTTTCACAGCGTCTAACTTGAAGATGAAAGGCCGGGACTCCCTCTGAGCATTCTATGTGCGTATGGGAAGCAAGAGCCAAGACACTCACTGGAGAACTGAATTATACTTCCCTAGAAGGTGTATGTTGTTCAATCATTTTCCCTTGCATAAAATCAAGTAAGCAAAAAAAGTGAAAAAGGGGATGCCTGGGTGGTTCAGTCCATGAAGCGTCTGCCCTTGGCTCAGGTTATGATCCCGGGGTTCTGGGATCGAGCCCTGGTTTGGGCTCCCTGCTCGGGGGGAAGCCTGCTTCTCCCTCTCCCACTCCCTCTGCTTGTGTTCCCTTTCTCTGTCTCTCTCTGTCAAATAAATAAAATCTTAAAAAAACAAACAACAACAACAAAACCCAAGAGAGACAAAACAGCAGATTAGCTACACTTCCCCTTGAACCGAGGAAGTTCTCAAAGAAAATCACATTGAAAAGTCTAAGTGAGTGGGGACCTGCTCACCGCCAGGGGGAAATGCTTTGTGTGCACACACCCAAGGATGGTGTCTGCTGGAGAGGTAGCAAGCCCAAGGACTGAAGGGGTCAGGGTCAGAGTGACAGGCTTGCTGACTGAGCTCAGCTGGCTGCTGTGGTCCGTGGAACCCACAGCTTGTGCTACAGTAAAAAAATAAAGCAGGGTTTTCTACACATTGCCTGCCCACTGGAAAAGCTTGCATAATGGCATAATTTTCTTGGGAAAACATTTTCTAATTGCTTTATTTTACACTGACATTCATGTACTTGGTGATTTGGAAGGTTCTTAGAATACATTTGTTGCAAATAAATGACAAATGGATTAAGTGACCATCTTGGGACATGATGCATTCACCATGTCCAGCTGGTGTTGAAAATGTTCCTCAGGCCCATTCTAAGGCACCTGAGTTGTCAGAACGCTCATCTCTTCACCTCACAGTTCATTTTTAGCCCTAAACAGAATATAATGTGGTCTGATTAATGATGATTCATCATTAGTTCAAAGTCAGTTTGGGCTTTAAAACAAAAGGACTGACATCACTACGGATAATGGTAGCCACACGTATTTTGAAGCATTTCTAGGGCTGATGTAATATTTAGAAAGGCTGTGGGGGCATAACCAAGAGGGGAAGCTCCCAGAAGCAGAGCTGAATGGAGCTCAGGAAAGAGACCTGGTGGGGGCGGGGAGGGCGCCTAATGAGCAGGCAGAAGGCTTCGGGTGCTTGGACCGTGCCAAAAGAGGAGCCAGTGCAGAATCTGCAAGAAAATAACTGAAAAGATGTGAACTTTTCCAAAGTGTTACCTACAAACCAACTCTCCTCTCTCCTCAATCTTACCTGATTTTTTTTCTTTTAGAGAGAGTGTGAGCGGAGGAGAGGGGCAGAGGGAGAGGGAGAGAGAGAGGAACCCAAGGAGACTCCCCGCTGAGCATGGAGCCTGACGCAGGGCTCAATCCCATGACCATGAGATCATGACCCGAGCTGAAATCAAGAGTCGGATGCTCAAATGGCTGAGCCACCCTGGTGCCCTGACAGATTGTTTTTTAGAGAAAGAAATAACAGCTAAATTCCTATGCTTCATATGACTCCCTAAAAGTCTTTGTCCTAATTCTTAAATATACCTTATACATAAAGGGAAAGCTCATGTGTTACTCTTATCCATCGAGATCAATTTTTTGTCAAGATAGGCATGGTCAATACTTTGGATGATAAATGGAACACTGACAAAGAATCCAGTTCCCTGGTCTATGTTGTAAAACTAGATTCAGCATTTTTTTTTAATTTTTAAAGTTTATTTATTTATTTGACAGAGAGCAAGAGACAGCGAGAGAGGGAACACAAGCAGGGGGAGTAGGAGAGGGAGAAGCAGACTCTCTGCTGAGCAGGAAGCCCAGTTCGGCGCTCCATCCCAGGACCCCAGGATCATGGCCCGAGCTGAAGGCAGACGCTTAATGACTGAGCACCCCCAGGCGCCCCTAAACTCGGTATTTTTAAAAGTGACTGAATTAATGTGCTATTGTAGTGCTCAGAGCAGCACAGTGCACACTCAAGAAAAATGTGCTGAATGAGATTTTGCCATTATTTATGCTTCTAGCGCCTTGAAAAGCACACTCTTTTAATACTTTTAATACTCAGCTTTTAATACTCTTTTTAATACTTTTAATAGCTTTTAATACCCAGCTATCTGTGTTGCCTATTTGAAACAATTCCTTTTTTCTTTTTTAAGATTTTTTTAATTTATCTGACAGAGAGAGCGAGCAAAGTAGGCAGAGCGAGAAGCAGGCTCCCCACTGAGCAGGGAGCCTAACCTGGGACTTGATCCCAGGACCCTGGGATCATGACCTGAGGCCACTGCAGATGCTAACCCATCTGAGCCACCCAGGGGTCCCTCAATTTTAAGCAATTTCTATTTTAAATTAGACTGATGACTTTGGGAACAGGCCTGCCTGGAATACTGATGTTAGCAGGCTGGAGAGTACATGTATTTAGAAAGTAGTAGAGACAATTCTAGAATTTCAGCTTTTCTGAGACTGTGAAGAATCATGAAACTAAATTACTCTCTTCGGCCATTAAAGAAACACTGCAGATCCTAACTAAAGTCGAATTTGTCTACAATCAGGTAATACATCATAACTGACCCTGACTTCATAGATCCTACAAGCCTCTGCACACCACCATGAAAGAGTACTGATTTAACTAAATCTTGGTTTGATACAAAGGACTCAGGCATTTCAAAACGGGGAAATGAACAGTGTACTTGAGAAATAAAACTCAAAATTTTTAATCTGCATTTGCTCGGAGACATGGCTACCCTCACGCACTGAGACAAGGAGAGAGCCCCCATGCCGTCCAGACACACGAATCGATAGTGGTGTGCACACAACTCACCCTCACTGCCACTAGCGATGAAGTCTTCGTTATGGCCTCCAAAACATGAATGGATCGTATAAAACCCTTGCGTGACACCTTGATACTTTCTTACTAAAACTCTGTCTTGCAAGTCCCATAAATGAACTCCCTGTAGGCAAAAGAAAATAGATACACTTATTCTTCCTCAACTCAAAAGAGTTTTACACTGTGACTATCCCTTTGCCTGATGGAACATTTTCAATTCCATTACACAAAATGACAACGTTCTGACACATTTAAGGTTGACTTTACAAACTTAAGGATCAAACACATAGGTGAAGATTAAGAATTTGTAAAAATATTTATTTATATATGTATACACCAAAAATCATGTATTTTGAACTAAGCTAAATCTTTATAATTATAATAAACTTACCTGAGTTGCTACATTTAACAAAGCTAATCGGCCATTCTTGGAAATAGTAAAAGACATAATGGGATGATCTTCTTGTACTCTGTAACCAGAAAATAATCTGTCAAAAGCAACATACTAAGAATCAAGAACATTCAAATGACCAAAATATAAAATGTTCTAGCTTAAACACTGCAATTTTGTCTATAATCAGTATGACAAACTGTATTTCAATCAAGAAAAAAATTCTGAGTTAATAGTTATACAAAGCACCACCCGACCACCAATCCATTTTAGGGTCAAGTTCAAACCAAAACATAACTCTTCTCAAATAGCGAGTTCCACCACACATTTTAATATAAATCAAATAGTTATTTAACGGATAAAAAAACAGTTACATGTTCCTATCTGTAAGGTCCTCAAAGTTGTACCCCCGGATCCGCTGGTGTGTGTCTGATGCCAGAACAGTCTTCCCGTCGCTCAAGCACCAAAGGCATTGCACTCTCACCCCTTCCCAGGAATCAAGGAGGTTCCCATCTAAATCCTGAGGAGAAATTCACTATTAACCCCATTATGAAACAGTGCTCGGAAAGCAAAGAATCAAATGAATCTCAGCAGCATCTTTTAGTAGTAAGTCTGTTTTTTCCTGCTCTACTTAATTGTTCCATAAAGTGGTTTTCATCATGAAAATGTGACTATAGGTCCAATTTCATTACAACAGTACCTCAGGGGGAGGGGGACAGAATCTCTGGGAAATCCATCTTCCCTTCAATAACCCACCAGGCACAAATAAATACAATACACACAGGGAAAGAAGAATCCCAAGTTCCAAGTGAAGTTCTCACTTCTACTGGGAAAGAATTCAAATGTTCCTTTAAAATGCACTATACTGGGGCGCCTGGGTGGCTCAGTGGGTTAAGCTGCTGCCTTCGGCTCAGGTCATGATCTCAGGGTCCTGGGATCGAGTCCCGCATCGGGCTCTCTGCTCAGCGGGGAGCCTGCTTCCCTCTCTCTCTCTCTGCCTGCCTCTCTGTCTACTTGTGATCTCTCTCTGTCAAATCAATAAATAAAATCTTTAAAAAAAAATGCACTATACTTGGATCTGTCCTCTACTACTATTCAGAAGTTGGAATATGGAAAAGATTACTATAACGTTAATTACAGCTTTACAGAACTCCGAAGCTGTCAGGACATTTAAAAAACATTACCAAATTTGCAATGTGTTCTACAGATTAAAGCTCTAAGAGGCATCCTATTTCTGTTCCACAGATGGGGAAGCTGCCGAGTCCTGGGCCCTGATGGTGTCAACATCATAGGGGACAGTGGGATCAGCAGAGATACACAGGGTCATCCTGCAGCCAAGGATTCAAGAGTAAATGGCTTCACTGCCAGAAAGTACAGCATGGGGACCAGCGGGACTGCGTATCTCAAAGTTGCTAAGAGAATAAATCTTAAAAGTCCTCATCACAACTGTGTATGGGAACAGCTAATTTCTGTGGTGGTAATTTTCAATGCATATGAATATCAAATCATTATGTTCTATACCTGAAGCGAACATAATGCTATATGTCTACTATACCTACATTAAAGGAAAAATAAATTAAAAAATCCAAGTTGTATATTAGCCCGTGGATAAAAACTCCAGAAATAACTTTTTAAACTACTGGGAAAATCACAGATAGACCAATAAAGTGTATTGAGACAAATGGGAGAAGAAAAGAACTCAAGGCTCATAACCAGGCTTTGGGGACAGGACACGATGTTCCACGAGTCCCACGGCCGGCTTATCAAGACACCAGTGGTATGCAGTGGCCACACAGAGGCCTCTATGATGTGTGTTCTTTAGCTACACTGAATGATTTATGGGATTCATGATCTTGTTTAATCTTTGTTTAATCTTAAGACCACACGTGGAAGCGCTCACTGGCAGTGGGCCGGGCTGTGGTGCGAGACACGGACACCAGATGGACGGCCATGGCAGAGTTTGCCTTGTCACAAGATTGGTCACTGAGTCCTTACTTTCATCACCCCATGAGCCCGAGATTAATGGGGCAGAAGTAATCAGAAGTTACTTCAAATAAAGACTGGAAGGTTGTCTGGTAGTGCCCATCACCACTTTTAGTCCTCGCATATTTAAGACAGTCAACTCATGAAATTCAGCAGAGTTTGGATACAAAACCTAGAGCCTCAAAAGAAGTGCTAAATATTTTCAATCCTCTAACATTAGAAAGTTATTTATGAGGACAAAATATTTAGTAAAATAATTTTTTAACATTTTACTAAACTTGAAGTCTAGACTTTGTATAAGCCTTTAAAAATGGTTACAAAAAGAAAAAACTGCAGAAAGTTCTACTGGACGGTGCTTATTAGAAAGATAGCTAAGTAGGTCTTCACACAATCTATTTCCTAAAAGATAGTGAGTCAAATGCATTTTTTATTTCAACAAATGGAGCAGGCCGTGGACAGGGCAGGAGGTACTCACACACTGGTAGAACTGGCCGCGCTGACCTCCAGTTACGAAGCGTTTCCCATCTGGATTCCAAGCCACGCTCGTCAAACTGTCCTCATGAGACTGGCTCATTTTTGTCCTTAGCTCTCCCGTCTACAAAGAAATAAAACTGTGGCTAAGACCTTCAAGATAGGCTTCTTTTTTTTTTTTAAAAGATTTTATTTATTTTTTTGTGAGAGAGAGAGCACAAGTAGGCAGAGTGGCAGAGGCAGAGAGAGAAGCAGGCTCCCTGCTGAGCAAGGAGCCCGATGTAGGACTCGATCCCAGGACCCTGGGATCATGACCCGAGCTGAAGACAGCCGCCTAACCTACTGAGCCACCCAGGCGTCCCTCAAGATAGGCTTCTAAAGTGAATGTATAAAGAAAAAAAAAATAGTAACTGGGATATCAGGTTCGTTTGATGTTCCTAATGAGAGAAATGAACTATTCTAACTGGACTTACAAAAAAACCAACCAACCAACCAACAAGACTGCAGTGCTCAGAGGAGGAAGAATGGGAGCTCAACAATGCTCAGCACAGGCTACTCCAACAATAGAGCTGATGACAGACTCTCTAATAAAACTCTCACTTTCAATTACATTTATAAATCAAATCATATTTTCTCATCAGCAGCTCAGCGCTACACGCTCTACTCCCTCCGAGATCCCCCTACTTGTCCATGTCCCAGACTGCCATTAGCAGTTCCTCAAGAACATGATGAATGGACAGAAAAACTAGGTCCTTGAACTAAGGCAAGGGTGCAGTAGTTCTCAATTATGTGAAATTTCGTATCTGAGATGCTGGAAAGGTAGTAGGGAAGATGGGAAGAGAGAAATGAAAATTATTTTTCTGATATCTAATTTCATCTCAACTAAAAGTACAGAAAAGAGGCTTCTGTACAGTTCAGCATAGCTGTTTTAAAGGATTCCCAAGTAAGAAAGACTATTTACTGGTTACAACCCGAAGATGCCCACCTGTTATTTTTTCTAAGTTACTGAACTTAGAAGGTAGACACATACCATTTAATCTAGTCCTGATTCCATTTTGTTCATGGATTAGAAACAGGCTCTGAGAGATAACAGCTGCCCTTGGCATAATAAAAAGTACATGGGCATAATTTCCCTGTGAGAAATGGGTCATCAAAAGTAAAAAAAAAAAAAAAAAAAAAAAAAGTGAAAACAAAGTGTATGATCAAGGAACAGGGGCAAGTACTAAAGCAAAGAGGGCATGAAAACAGAAAGCCAGAGGTCTCCCTTTACCCTGGAAAAAAAGAAATCAGCAATTTAAAAATCTTCCCCCATGCTGCTAATAGGTCTTGTCCATTTATCTTTTTTGGACTGCTGGATAGAAACAGTTAAAAGTTCAGAACCCCACGTACACACGCAGAGGCTGAATCTTCTGCATGTTGTGTTCACACACACGTTAACACACTAAGTGCTGAGGCAGAAATGGTCTTTTCTTCTGCTGTGCTGACGACAGTGGGTATATGAGGGAGTTGATCATGAGGAAACTACCTCACAATAGGAGGAACAATGTGCAAACTGACGGAAAACCCAGTCTGTAAAGTAACGCACAAACAGTTCAGCTAGAACACCCTCTAACTGTCCAGAAACTCAGAACTGACTCACAGGAGGACTAGAGACACCATTTCGAGTCTATTACTGGAGGATCAGGACTCCACACATCTTCTCTTGAGGGACAAACAAAAAGCTTTAATGGGAAAAACAACAACAACCACCACCACCCATTTTGTCTTTTAGGTCAGATTCATCCCAGTCTGTTCTACTGAGAGAAAGCAGTCTCCTCCTCTGGGCTTTGCTGCCCCCCGAACCCAATCACAAACACCGATGACACACTGGTTTGATAAAAATGGCCTAAAGGCATCTGGGGAACAACTGGGGATTTTTAACTACGAAACGAAAATTAGATATTAGAGAATGATACCTAACGTTCTTGAATAAGCTGTTATTTTCTAGAACGTACATGCTTCAGTATTTGGTATCAAACATCCCATCTGTAATTTCCTTCCAAATGTTTTGGACATGGATGTCTGTGTGTACACATCTACATGCGTGCATGCATGCGTGTACACAAAATATACAGAATGGTCATCGCAGAATCCCAGGTGGTGGGCAAGGGTCACCACTGTATTCTTCCACTTTTCTTAATATTCAACGACCTTCCTACTGAAAAGCTAGGGTTGAAACGTAAGTAGTAAGTAAGCAGTAAGAAGACTGTGCTTTGGAACAGCAGAGCAGGAATTACAGCCGATCACCCTCAGGGACATCTCAGTATTTGCTCTGTCCTCTGCACGCTTGTGCATAGTTTCAGCTGTACTCTCTCAGTACAAACCAAGTCATGTATCGGTCCCCAAACGCACAGTCCTACCCTGTCAGGGCACACCAGTACCCTCAGACCACAGCCTGGACCATGCCCTCGCCTCGGGGCAGAAAAATGAAAAGAAAAGCATCTAACCAGCCACCTTACAGAAAACTTAAAAAAATTAAATCCGAATTATAAGGTCTTCAAAACACGGTATAAAAATAATGGAACCAAATGCTAATTTTTGTAAAACAACAACAAAGGGATCCTGGACGAAGGTCAAGTTTGGGTTTACAAACAGGAAGAGAGCCCTTACTAAAAGTACTGAAACATCATTATTTTTCCCAAACTAGATCAACATATAAAACAGTTAAGGAGACGACAGTATGACCGCCACCAAAACGAGAGCTCTGGCTCCCTGCAGACGTTTGCACACTTGAAAGGTTAAGTTTCATATACAATCATCAAATTATGAGACCACCGTGAAAATCTGCTTGTAGAAAAAGTACCACAGTAAACAGTAGGAATTCCACAGCACAAAGCACAACATTCCTGAAAATACTCTTTCGTCCTTCTTTTAAATACTCTTATGCTCAGCATGACATCTGGGCTGCTAAGCGTGGACACCTGGGCTGTGTCACGTGGGACCCACTCTGGTCGCTGAGGTTGGGTGGCTGGCTGTGTTCTAGCGAGCATCAAGCTACAAGGAATGCGTGCAAGATGGGCCCACTGAATGGAAAGGCTCAAGGACGGACGGAACGTGCTCACTTGGACATTCCAAAGCCACAGCTCAGAGCAGTCATCTGGGCCACAAGCAACAAGGTAGCTGTCGTCCGGACTCCACGCGATGTAGGAGACGCCGTAAGCATGTCCTTCTAAGGTTTTGAGCAGTTTTAGCAGGTGTGTATCCTAGGAGGGAAGGACATGACTTGGTTAGAGTCCCCAAAGTCCACAGTTTTCTGGCATCGGAACTGCAACAGCAGTAAGCATCTATTTGGACAGTGTAATGGACTCTGAGGAGGTGCTCACAGATTCACCAACGTCCCCTCCCCGAAGGTCCGACTGCTTGCGTCATAAAGCCTCACTCACGCTGTGAAATCTCATGGGCATCTACTCCATGCCAGGCATGGTGTGCCAGATGGACCTCTGATGACGACACAGGCTTTATGCCCGTGAGGCTTCTGAGGAAACCAAAAGCACTAAGAGCGACCTCTTATTTCTGAAAACACTTGACGGAGATAAAACTTATGCACCACAGAATGCACCCTTCCAAGTACGCAATCCCATGACCTTGAGTATGTTCAGAGTTATGTAGCCACCACTGCTATCCAAGCTGAGAACTTTCTCGTCGCCCCACAAAGCTCACACTTGTTAGCAGTTCCTTCCCGTCCCCCACACTCCCTTCTCCACAGACTTGCCCGTTCTGGACATTTCACCCACACGGGATCCTACAGTGTGGGGCGTTCTGTAACTGGCTTCTCTCCCTCCGCGGAATGTTCCAGAGTTCATCCATGCTGGAGCGTGCGTTATCTCCCTCCTTTCCATTGGTCGATAGTCCTTTTCACGGATCTACCCTCTTTTGTTCATCCATTCAGCAGCCGATGAGCATCTGGCCTGTCTCCAGCTTCAGCTACTATACACAATGCTGCTAGGACTGCACAGACTCTGGGCACACGTGCCAGAGCGGAGCCACAGGAACCGCCAACTGTCTCTCCCGAGTGGCCGCTACTAAGTTGCTCCTCGGAATGAGTGCTGGCCACCAACACTACTTCGGCCAGGTCTCCTAACCCGAAGCTACGTGTCCCTCCCCTGCCCCACATGATAGGGACGGAGACCAAGACCACCCTGGCGAGAGCTGCTGGCCTCTCAGTAGAACGGACACCTCTGCTTGAGGTTAAGGGGCTCAATTTCCCTGTAAGGGGTGAGCTGCTGAAGATTTTTAAGCTGGTGAATACATAACAAGGGTGTCTGGTTTTAGGAGGAGAACATGCATGGTGATGTGGCAGATGAATCAGAATGAACAGATCAGGACACGGACACCCCAAAAGGGCCGACACGAGCCACTATGGTCACAAGAAACGAGGTCCCAAACTAACACAGTGTGGACTCCAAGAGGTCAGACCAGAATGTACTTGGGATGTAAAATACATATGACAGGATGAGACGAGAAATGTCCAAAGACCACCTGCAGGTTTCTGCTGTATGGGGCAAGGATGTGCACAGCAAACAGACCAAGAGGGACTTGGCTGGAGGAGGCTAAAAGTGACTGAGTTAAGTGTTAGACTTTGGTCAAAGACAGACTGAGACTGGTACCATGCCTGTGGAATTCTGATGGTGAGGACCTAGAAGCAGTTAAAAATGGGTCTGGGGGGCGCCTGGGTGGCTCAGTCGGTTGGGCATCTGACTTTGGCTCAGGACATGATCTCGGGGTCCTGGGACAGAGCGCTCAGTTGGGCTCTGTACTCAAGAGGGGACATCCACTTTTCCCTCTGCCTCTGGCCCCCTTCCCCACTCATGCCTCTTTCTTCCTCAAATACAATCTTAAAAAGGGGGGGGGAGGGGAAAATGGGTCTGGAACTCCTCTGATAAAGCTAGGTTGGGAATTTATTTTGTCAGAAATGTCACTAACAAGTGTATGTGTTTAATATACCGACCCTATGTTTATCATTTATTCTATCACCTAGTCCAGACCACCATGTCTGATAAAAACTAGCTAACACCACCACTGCTTCTGACCCCTCGCCAGGAGAAGGCAAACAGGGCAGGGGTTTGTGCGAGTGTGGTACCACTGGTCAGAGAGGCCGCCATCACTGAGCAGGATGCCTGGGCTTTGGGACGGGCTCAGTCACAGTGGTGCTTCGGACCTGCAAAGTATCTTTTTTCTAAACTGATGATAAACGACTTGAGAAGTATTTAACTAAAACACTAATTCAGCACATTAATATAATGCTGTAAAAAACTAAAGCTGAAAATAAATGGGGATATGAATGCTAGATCTTCACAAGTACAGTGTCTCTACACTAACCTATGTCAAGTGGAAATACCATGTTCATGGAATCCACGTAACTGTGCTCAGATTTTGGGTCAGAGAATGGGCAAAATATTTTTTGGGGGCAAAGGTAAAAAAACCTGTTAAAAGAAACGAGGTTTTGGGATCACATCACCTCAAATCTTTTTTTCTTCTTTAAAGAGCCCCAACTCGGGGCTCGATCCCATGACCCTGAGATCATGACCTGAGCCGAGGTCAAGAGTCAGATGCTTAACCAATTGAGCCACCGGATGTATCCATCACCTCAAATCTTAATGTCCTTCTCCATGTATTGCTTTTCATCCATTAAAACACACACACAAAACACACATACTCAAAAAGATCACCAATTTTCTTACAAGTTTTTCAAACAGTATTTGACATAATAAAATACTATCATACTAAACTCTCAAATCCATGGCATCTCAGATTGGAGTGAAAGCATTAACTCTATGTTTCCCAAGCTAATCTGGCCACAAAAGCCCTTTACTCCTAACACCTACTCTGACAAAGGCACTCTGGTCTAAACTCCTTAGCCAAATGCACCAGATCCTCCTGGACTGGTGGCCTCCAACTCTGCTAACCTCACCTCCTACTCTACACTGTAACCCCGAGACTGCCCAAATGCCAGCCACGTTTTCCTTTCCCAGGTCCTGCAGGGGACAGTACTAACTGGTTTGCCTCGGTAATAGCGGACTCCTTCTGCTAGGACTCACTTGTCTTACTTTCCAGTTCCAGTGGGTTTCTCCTTTGAGCCCCTGTAGCACCCATCATAGAACAGTTACTCTGTAATTGTCATGAACTTGTGGTAAAGCCTCATGTAAGCTTGCTCTCAACAAATATGTGCTAAGTGAAGGGCATGGTTATACACTGCTGCCAAAAGAAATCGTAATAAAGCACAGTTTAGTATGCTTTCTGTTCAGACATCTTGCAAATAATTGCTGAAATACAACTCCTCAGCACAGTGTTCAGAGGCCACAACTAGATCCACACTGTTTTTCTAGTCTGATTTCCCACTCTGTGCCTTACTCATCTTATCCTCTTATCTGACACTGGGAGAGGGCAAGGTCCCTCCCTTCCCAGAATGCCCTCTTCTGTCCCTACCTGTGTTGTGCCTATCAAGGCTCAGACCAGGTGCTCTCACCTGGGCAGCATTCTGCACTTTCACAACACTCTGCACATCCTGTGTGAAACGTACTTCAAGGTGTAAATTACTTCCTTTCTACATCGTGTGTTCCTTTCCCAGATGTTACTCTGCAGCCTACAAGCAGTCACTTAGGGAAGAGGCAGGGAGCCTTGAACTTAAATGTGAGGACAAACGCACATCTCTATTTTCATTAACCACAGGCTGAAATTCAGTATTTCAGTCCTGAATGAAGGCAATCGACAAGGTGGCAGCAGGTGAGACACAGGTGCATCAGCCTGTAAATATATCAGTATATCAGGGGACTGTTAATAAAGGAAGTCTCCAGTGTTTTCATACAGTATCACAGCTATTGCAGCTATCTCAAAATCTTTATGCTCATCACTACTTCAAAATTTGATGGTGGTTAGAGCTCTTGCTAGAATTTGCTGTTTAATGTGTTCATAAAAAAGCAACATGGGGGGGGCCTGGGTGGCTCAGTCAGTTCAGTGTCTGTCTTTGGGTCAGGTCATGTTCCCAGGGTCCTGGGATCGAGTCCTGAGTCGGGCTCCCTGCTCAGTGGGGAGTATTCCTTTCCCTCTATACCTCCCCCTCTGCTCATGTTCTCTCTGTTAAGTAAATAAATAAAATCTTAAAAAAAAAAAAAAAAGCAACATAATTGTTATACGGGATTTGTTTTTTTACTATTTAATAACTGTATTTCAATAATTGGGTTTCCTAGATAATTAATATCATCCCACGTGCGTTTACTATATGTTTTGATTTAAGCATTTAACAACATTACTCTGGGGGGGGGGGTTGTCCCTAGAGCCATCAGAGTGTCAGAGTACTACATGGTACAAGGAAAGAACGCCTGCTTCATGGCAAAGAATAGGTCTTATTACCTTTCATCATTCACAGGATATTACAGATACACAAAAATTAAGGTATGCTCTCAACTCGATTTGTTTTTTAAAGGAAATGCTATACCCAGTGTAGGGGCTTGAATTCACAACCCAGAGATTGAGAATTAAATGCTCTACTGACTGAGCCAGCTAGGCACCTTTGATTCTTTTTTATTTAAAGATTTTATTTGTCAGAGAGCACGGGGAGCAGCAAAGGCAGAGGGAGAAGCAGGCTCCCTGCTCAGCAGGGACAGGACTCTATACTGGGACCATGAGATCATAACCTGAGCCAAAGGCAGATGCTTAACCAACCAAGCCACCCAGGTGCCCTGCACCTGCCCCCTGACCATTCTTTTTTTAAAATATTTCCTTCTATAGCCCGTTTTGTCGATTTTTTTTAATGTAAAAGTCCACAACTTTATTTGGGACAAATATTATATTCTAATTTTTAAAAAAAATTTTTTGGGAAGATTTTATTTGACAGAGAGAGAGAGATCACAAGTAGGCAGAGACAGTGGGGGAAGCAGGCTCCTTGCTGAGCAGAGAGCCCGATGTGGGGCTTGATCCCAGGGCTTGATTGAGATCATGACCTAAGCTGAAGGCAGAGGCTTAACCCACTGAGCCACCCAGGCTCCCGTAATTCTAAATTTTTAAAATAAGATTACTTAGTTATGATTTAAACCAAATATTTCTCCTTAACTTATTTAGAGGCATGTACTTCTTTTGATAGGTCAATAAATGTCCCACTGGCTAAAAGAAACAGAAATACTTTTTTCTACAAATCTGTAAGTCATCTTGTTATAAACAATGACAAAAATCTGATTTTAGAGAGAACTCAGAATTTTAAATCCAAAATACAGTATTTTTTGTATATAAGGTGGAGGGGGTGTTTAACAGAAGTTCCACAAATCACACAAGACAGGGGCGCTTGGGTGGCTCAGTGGGTTAAAGCCTCTGCCTTCGGCTCAGGTCATGATCCCAGGGTCCTGGGATCGAGCCCCGCATCGGGCTCTCTGCTCGGCAAGGAGCCTGCATCCCCCTCTCTTTCTGCCTGCCTCTCTGCCTACTTGTGATCTCTGTGAAATTTAAAATTACACAAGACAATGAAAGATTTCAGAAGGCAAATAGTAATGAGTCCTTCCGACCTTGTGACAGAATGGTAAATTGAATATTATCAACAAAGGTACAAACTGGCAAGGGGCATGAAGAGCAGTAGGTATGAAGTACAGCTCTTCCTGGATCTGAGTCTACCTGTACCACTCACTAGCTTGGACAGCCTGGGCACTTAACATCTACCTCAGTTTCCGGATCTGAAAACGTGAGTGTCCCACAGAGGTATTCTGAGGACCAAACCAAGACTGCACACACACAGATTATGAACACAATCACCAGCACACACTCTGTATCTACCTATATATGTCATCTAGAAAACACAGGAAGAGGTAAGACATGACAAAAATGACAGCAAAATGCTCTTAGGAAAGAAGACACTTATATACGCACACTTAAAATCTACGTAATTAGGTTTTAGATGAATTACCTTTTTGTAGTCTATAAACACACACACACATACACACGCACGCACACTGGAGTACATACCGGATCAACTTGCCATATGATAACTGTGGTATCTTTCGATCCTGTTGCTAGTTTCGTGCCATCATTGGAAAATTTACAGAACCATACTTCATTACAATGCTCCGTAAGTATCTGTTGAGTATAACATGGGAACTGCCTCCTAAAACAAAGAAGTTCACACATAGTTATTCTTTCAAAATAGAGTAATCTAATAATGAAAAAGGTGAAACAAATGGAACTTCTTTAGACATAAAAACTTTAAAATAAGATATGAATGCTTTGCAGATTTTCATCAAGTTTACAGTGGTATGTTGAAAAAAGATTATTACAACATCAGTCAAGGCAATCTCAGGGGAAATCAGTAATCTGAAGTCTGATTCAATGTACAATTCTTTTTCCCTTTTTCAAGATTAAACAAGAGTAAAAGTATGTGTCCATCACAGAATTTTTTGGTCTGATTAAAGTCAACTCATATAGGGGTGCCTGGGTGGCTCAGTGGGTTAAGCCACTGCCTTCAGCTCAGGTCATGATCTCAGGGTCCTGGGATAGAGTCCCGCATCAGGCTCTCTGCTCAGTGGGGAGCCTGCTTCCCTCTCTGTCTCTCTCTCTGCCTGCCTCTCTGTCTACTTGTGATCTCTCTGTCAAATAAATAAATAAAATCTTAAAAAAAAAGTCAACTCATATAAATAAAAATTAATAATCAGGGTTTCAGGTTTAAGTTGGCTGGCATCACGAGGAATGCGCATTTTTATTTACATAAAAGCAACCTGACTTAACAAAAAGAGATAAGGCACTCTCATCGGACAAGCTTGGGTCACAAGCTTTCATGTCTTTGGCAAGTTATTTCACTCCTGAGCCTCAGTTCCCTTGTCTAGAAAAGGAGAGTAATATACAACCAACAGGGTTCTTCTCAGGACGAGAAAAACATCTATGATTCCTGGAACGCAACAGATACAAGTGATTACTGAGATATTTCAGTGCAAGCAGAGAAGAAGTGCAACAGAGGGAAGGGGCTGCAGGGACTAAGAATAAAGCCTTAAGAACAGGGACAGGAGAGTAAGAGACCTAGGTTCAAATCCTGACTCAGCCACTTACTAGGTCGTTTCCCAGAAACCGGGAACCCCATTCAAACCATCTCAAGTTTTCCAACCAAAAACTAAAGAGAACGGTAGCTGCCTTATGGAATCTCTGTACGGGGACACACAAGAATGAGATGATGCACGTGGAGCATTTACATGGAGCCCAAGCCCCCGCTGGCACGTCCTCAGTGGCCGCTGCTACTCTAGATTAAGGGAACGAACTCTATGACTCTGGCTCTGAGAGGAAAGGGGATCATGAGTGACTGTTTCCAGGAAGCATTTTTCAAACCATGTGTAAACCCACTTTTAAAAACTATTCTGGGGCGCCTGGTGGCTCAGTGGATTAAGCCTCTGCTTTCTGCTCAGGTCATGGTCTCAGGGTCCTGGGATTGAGGTCTGTATCGGGCTCTCTGCTTAGCAGGGAGACTGCTTCCCCTGCCGCTCTGCCTACTTGTGCTCTCTGTATGTCAAATAAATAAATAAGATCTTTAAAAAAAAAAACAAAAAAAACAACAAAATGAGGTGCCTGGGTGCCTCAGTGGGTTAAAGCCTCTGCCTTTGGTTCAGGTCATGATCCCAGGGTCCTGGGATCAAGCTCCAAGTCGGGCTTTCTGCTCAGTGGGGAGCCTGCTTCCCCAACCCCCGGCCTACTTGTGATCTCTGTCAAATAAATAAATAAATCTTAAAAAAAAACACCAAAAACCCAACAGGGGTGCCTGGGTGGCTCAGTGGGTTAAAGCCTCTGCCTTTGGCTTGGGTCGTGATCCCAGGGTCCTGGGATTGAGCTCCACATCAGGCTCTCTGCTTGGCGGGGAGCCTGCTTCCCCTTCTCTCTCTGCCTGCCTCTCTGCCAAATAAATAAATCTGTGATCTCTGTCAAATAAATAAATAAATAAAAATCTTATTAAAACAACAACAACAAACAAACAAACAAACCCCATTCTATCCTCCTCCAACTCGATGGCAGCAGCCTTCCTCAGAGTTTCCTGCACTGACTTTGGAAGGTTACACGCCAAACTGCCTAGCCCAGAAGGCCTGGCTGTGCATGCTGCCGAGCAAGGAAATGTGTCCAGGACACCTAAGGAACAGGATCTGTAAATCTAACTTTAATTTCTTTATGTTTGAATTTAAATGGCTACATGTAATTAGTGGCTACTTTTTGGATAGTACAGCCCTCTAGTAGAATCTCTGCGATCATAGGAAAGTTATTTGAACATTAGTGGATACACTTTTCTTTCTTGGGGGGGGAGGGGCAGAGGGAGAGAGAATCACAAGCCGACTCTGTGGTGAGCGTGGAGTCCAACACGGGGCTCAATCTCACGACTCTGAGATCATGACCTGAGCCGAAACCAAGAGGTGGATGTTCAGCTGACTGTGCCACCCAGGTACCCCACAAAGGTTTCTCTTTTGAACCAAAGTACAGGTGACATGTAACAGTAAATCAGTTTCAGCTGTACAATAGTACTCTACCACTCTATACACGCACAGAACGCACACCACAGTGCATTACAGTATCATCCACTAGATTACCTACGCTGTACTTTTCATCCCCATGACTTGATAAACTTTTAAGTTTATCCTGAAAAATGATCTTCCCTGTTTTTTCCCCAGTCTATAATTTAAAAATTTATTTTATCAATTCACTAGCTTATAAATAATATATATTCAAAACTAAATTATTATTTACTTTTTCTGGCACACACACACATCTACTTTAGCACTTGGCTATTTGGAGGCTACATTCAATTTTCAGACTGTCTAAAAATTGCTTTAATTTCAAATTATTATTCTATACGTGAACTTAAACAGAATCAATACCAGTTGACATTAATGTTCTAGGTACGCCAAGCCCTGTGCTACACGTTTATAAATAGTACTGCTAATTCTCAAAACTACCTCATAATACAATTCCATCTTCATGAGGCTCGAAGAGGGCAAGTAACTTAACAAATCATAAACTGGTAACTGAATTAGGTTTAAACCTATGGCTGATTCTCCAACACCAGTTTTCTTTCAAATATCATTTTTTAAAAAAAGATTTTATTTATTTGACAGAAAGAGAGATCACAAGTTGGCAGAAAGGCAGGCAGAGGGAGAGAGAGAGATCACAAGTAGGCAGAGAAGCAGGCAGAGAGACAGAGAGGAAAGCAGTGTCCCTGCTGAGCAGAGCCCGAAATGGGGCTCAACCCCAGGACCCTGAGACCATGACCTGAGCTGAAAGCAGAGGCTTAACTCACCGGGCCACCCAGGCGCCCCTTAAATATCATTGCCTTTTTCAAGACCCTGTTGGATAAAATTTCAGTCAAAGTAGTACTTTTAATATCAATAATGTTTTCCTGCCTCTTATGGATAGTAATCAATAATGATGTCTTTTACCAAGTGAGAAACACTTTATATTTAGGCACAAAATACACAATAATTCAAATGGGTAAAATTGATCATGAATGAAAAGACAGATCTAAAGTCAGAGTACCAAGATGTCCTTAAGGAAGGACCATTTCATAATCAGAATTGAGGGCACAAGTCATCTAGTCTACTGACAATGAGTTGTAACTGAAAGTCATTAAAAGGGTATTTAAATTAACATTATGTTTATTACTTAAATCTTTGAAAAAGAATAAAAACAGACCCAGTTTATTAAAAGCCTAATTTTAGATGTATACAAATCAAAGTTGATGACTTTGTTTTCAAGTAAATTTAAAAATATCAGTACCTTCCCAAATAAAAGTGAATACTGTATTTTAATTAAACCGAATCTTAAACATTTCAAGTTTTCATAAATATTTCTTAACAATTCTTTACTAAGAAATGAATACTATAGGGACACCTGGGTGGCTCAGTGGGTTAAGCCGCTGCCTTCGGCTCAGGTCATGATCTCAGGATCCTGGGATCGAGTCCCGCATCGGGCTCTCTGCTCAGTGGGGAGCCTGCTTCCCTCTCTCTCTCTCTCTCTCTCTCTGCCTGCCTCTGTCTACTGTGATCTCTCTCTGTCAAATAAATAAAATAAAATCTTTAAAAAAAAAAAAAATGAATACTATAAAGTTACCTATGGAAACATCCTTCCACTGGTTGCCGGTGAAAAAAAACCCATAAATTTAACCAAATATATGCATATACTGTGGAAAAATACAAATAATATACACTATCTAATGAAAACCCATCAGTGCTGATTAGGGTTTTAAAAAGTTACAGTTCACTTATTCATAATCAATTCTCTATTCTCCAGAGAAAAGAGAGCAAACTTGGGATTTAGATTTCAATGCTAAGAATTACTTTACAAAAATAGAGTTTTCTAGTTTCAATGCTAATCTAATTTCTACAAGAAAATAAAGCAGATATTAAAAAACATCAACTTTTCTTTTGAAGATCTCTAGATGAAAGCGGAATACTAGGAATTAAATCACATTCAGGTTTTCTTCTTCTAGTTCAGCAACATCTGCAGAGACTGTGCACACTACCTACTTGCCCGACATGTCCCTACCTCAGGGTCTCACTCGGACAGGCAGAGATGGCAGAGTGAGACACAGAGACTGGGAATCCAAGAAGAAAAGCAGACTTTATGGGGACAGCAAGAGGAAAGGGGAGTTCTACTTCTGCTATGTTTCGTTTAAGGTCCTCGAGTCACACACACAGCTGTACGAAGGTCGAAGGCTTAGGAAATCAACCCCGCGGCTCTAGCCCAGACCTGGCCTACATGAGAACCTAGAGGAGGGTGGGAAGACAGAGAAACCTTTTGGAACACATCCTTATTGAAGAGACAGGTACAGAGGAGGAGCCTGAGAAGCAGCCAACAGTGAAACAGAGTCTGCAATGTTTCTGAAGTCAAACAGTTTCATGGCAAAGCAGTGAAATGCTATAGAAAGGTCTAGATGTAGGCTGGAGAACAGTCACTGGATTTAATAAAGAAGTTGTTCCTCACCAACACCAGAAACAGCTTTGGTGTTGTGTTGGCTGCAGAAATCTCAAGAGTGAAGGACACAGATACTGTGAATGCACAGAAGGGCGTTACTTCAAGCAGCAGTCTCGAAGGCGGGTGTGTGCATGTGTGCGTGCACGCAGTGGTGACTTGCAGAAGCGCAGAGTCAAAGTTTTGTTCCGTTTTTAAAAGATTATGGGGAAGACCTGCCTATTACCAGCTAGTTGGGAAGAGCATGAATGCCATCCTCAGGAGTGCTTTCTACGCAGCTTTACCAGAGAGGCTGGTCCCTGTTCTGAGCTAGAAAAAGTCAGACTATACATTTTCCATCACTCCTTTCACAGGTACTGTAACAGAAATCGAGGCATTCAGGAAACATGTAGGTCACGTTCTCCTCGATTTGCTCCACGGACACCCCCTGAATCCTAAGGTCTACCCTAAATATTCTCCAAGACACTCCGCCAGCAACACTGAGAAACCAGAAGACCATCTGGGGTCACATCTGCCTTAATTTCAACACTGGTCTCAAGTTCCTTAAAGGAGCCATGAAGGATGAAGCCATATACCCTTTTAATCTATATCTCCTACCTCTAATTCAACTCAAATGAAAAGATTTAAAAACTCTCATAAGCAAGTTAAGAACAAAATAAAAAATGACAAAAAGGAAAAGGATCTCTACTGACTTTGTTTTAGAACATTTAAAAAAATAAATTTATTTATTTGACAGGCAGAGAGGCAAGCAGAGAGAGGAAGGGAAGCAGGCTCCCCACTGAGCAGAGAGCCCAATGTGGGGCTTGATCCCAGGACCCCGGGACCTGAGTCAAAGCAGAGGCTTAACCCACTGAGCCACCCAGGTGTCTGTTTTAGAACATTTAAGACATAAACCATGTAACTACCCAATACGTTAAGATGAATGGCACTTAGTCACTTAAAGCCAAGAACTCCACCAAACATCCTCAGGTTTTCACTGCATTTGGGGAGGGAGAGATAGGAACTCAACCACTCGGGAAGCAGTCTGTGCACACCTCCTCGATGTCACCCATAGTCACAGTGCTCACACACAAAGCATCTACGGTTGTTCCCAAAGGCCGCATGTCGTCTACACTCTGGTCCTGCCTGCTTATACCACTTTCAGTACTTTGTCCATGAATTTTATTTTTTTTTAAAGATTTTAGTTATTTATTTGACAGAGATCACAAGTAGGCAGAAAGGCAGGCAGAGAGAGAGAGGGAGGAGGAAGCAGGCTCCCTGCTGAGCAGAGAGCCCCATGGGGGGCTCGATCCCAGGACCCTGGGATCATGACGTGAGCCGAAGACAGAGGCTTTAACCCACTGAGCCACCCAGGCGCCCCCGTCCATGAATTTTTGCTAAAGAAACTGGCATGTGTACTGCAACTGTTCATGTGTGGTTCACCAGACCCAAATCACTTCCCTTCTGAAGTCTGAAACATTTCAGAATTAATTTTCAGTATCTTAAAAAATTGAAGTTCGGCTTTAGTTTTGGAAATTGTTATCAAAATAGCAGGAACATTATTACTCCCAATATCTAAGGCAGAGCTGAATTATGGACATGGACAGGGTTAGTAACAAAACCCAACCCAGAAAGTTACTGCCTGTTATTCTAACCATTTTTAGTTTAGATGACAGGTTCTCCTAAAAAGCAGAACTTCCATGAAGAACCAAGTATTTCCATGATCTTTATGGGCAGAAAATAATCGGGGCCATTGTCAAAATAGCTATAAGGTCCAGAAAAAGTCACTCTGTGACTCCGGGCATCCAAGGACAGCAGAGCCTTTGGCAGCTGGCGTCCCCGCCCAACACCACTCATAAGCCCTTACAAAGATGGCCAGACAGAACAAATGACCAACCGACACCCAGATGAGAAAGAAAAGCTCGGCTTTCCAGCTTCCCATCTTGAGATGCAGTCCGCTACACAAACACGAGCCAAATTCTCTGAAAGTGTCCACTTCAGGAAGTTCTAACTCTGCCCAGGAATGCTAGATTGGACACAAATGGTTTCGCAGCAACAGGACAAAGTTCCAAAAAAGGAACATTTTAACCGAGTTCATACTGAGTCTGTAAACTATAGAAGAAGTTTGTCTCTTACCTACTACAAACATGATCTATAAGCAGAGACACAGAATCTAGATTATTATCAAGTTTGGTATTGTGATATAGGCACCGATCCCTTTGTAGTTCCACCGCCTGCCGCAGCAGGGTCTGTAAACGCCGGGGGGGGAGCATCACTGATGGTGGCAAATACGCTGTAAGAGAAGACATTTTTAAGAAGAGAAATAACAATAAACATTAAAAAACCAAGACAGTATAACCTTTATTCGCCCCCTTCTGTTCCATTTGCCCCTGCCCTAGAAATCTCATGTCCCTTAGAGCAGTGACGGGAGGGGACACAGTGGGAATAGCAGCTACAGCTACGCTACCACAAAATGGGAGAGACAGGAGGGCTTTAGTTTCTATGTTAATTTCCAAAAACACAAATAAACCCCCTGCCCAAAAAGCCCTATTACCAAAAAAACCCCCCCAAAACCCAATGATGATGAAGAGCAAATCTGCAGAAGACTGTCCTGGAGAGACCATGCATCCTGACAGTGTAAGAGGAACCTCCCCCCAACAAAGGGCCAGCTGACGAGGAGGGATAAGCACCAGGTCCCATCAGATTGCTTCTAATGCCAACGATCCTGTGAAAACTCAGGAACGACTGGTGCTTTGACGTGGATAGCCCTCTCTTCCAATCCTTCCAGGCCTCACTCCTTCCCAACCACACAGTTTTCGGATTCTTAGGATCTCTACTACCATACCCCAACGTGAAACACATAGAATAACATGATTTAATATGAGAGGGAATAAAAAAAAATTTTTCTCTATAAAAGTGTGTAAAATATAAGTATAAAAGTGGCAAAAATAAAACCCCTACTCTAATCTGGAAGTTATGTATAACATAGCTGGGGGGAGGGTGGAAAGGAATACAGTTTATATAAACCTGGGCCTTCTTACTGAAATCAACAACTTTTTAAAACACTTGTAGATTACATTTCTGGTTTCTGTATTTTTTTCCTCCAACCATAGCACTTCTCCCCCAAACAAAATCTTAACGGGAGCATCACCGCATAGTATAAATGGGACCTGGGCCCTCTCCCCTGATTCATGGGGAGGTAAGCTGCTTCTCAGACTCCATGGCAGAATTTGGAAACCTTTACTTTAAAGGGCTTAATGGATTTTCCCTTCTTCCGTACATAACTGCTCACTGAGAGCGTGTCTGGATGCAGGTCTTCCTGATCAATTCATAGTATCTATTTCTAATTAAGAGAAAACACAGAAACACCAAAAGGTAAGACTCTTACTCTGTAGTTTGTCCAATAGTTTGGATCGGGAAGCTGTTCCTTTGCCTTCCCATTCTGCTTTTGCACGTAGGTCTTCTGCATGGCTACACATCAGATACCTAAAAACAGGAAAGAGAAAGCGCCAAATATCAAACCCTTTTCCTTGGGTAACATAACGATAATACGATAATAATATAATTTTTCATAACTGAAAAATATTAACCATACTTTTACTAAGAAACATGTATCAAGTTTTTACTAAGAAAATCATACCAAGAAGCAATTTCTACAGTGGACCCAATTAATTAACACAACCCAGCATGTGGATGTATTTATTTTTAAGATTAATAAAGCACCATTACCAAAGTATATAATGTTACTGTCATGACATATGATCACATTAGTAAAACACGTCCGTCCCCTCTCCTGTCAGCCCACATCATGCTGTGTACGCCGCTCTCACAACACGCCAGGCTCGGCCCCAAGCACTCCATGTGTACTACTCTACTGGCTGGGCACCAATATCCTGGGTGAGGCCAGCACTCGCGGGCTGATTCACAAACGAACCACCCAAGGCCCAGAAAGCCTGAGTAACCGGGTGAGGGTTAAGACACAAAAAAAGGGGCTTGAACTCAGGCATTTTTAGCTGCAAAACTTGCTCTAATTACTACACTAACTGAATTACTTCTCAGGAGGAAAAGAGAACTCCCCCCCCCCAAAACCTCAGATAAGAAAAAAACACTTCCGGGGGCACCTGGGTGGCTTAGTGGGTTAAGCCTCTGCCTTCGGCTTGGGTCATGATCTCAGGGTCCTGGGATCAAGCCCTGCATTGGGCTCTCTGCTCAGCAGGGAGCCTGCTTCCCCCTTTCTCTCTGCCTGCTACTCTGCCTACTTGTGATCTCTGTCAAATAAATAAATAAAATCTTAAAAAAAAAAAAAAGACAAAAAACCCTTCAAAGACAGTTACACTAAGTTAATTAAACAAAAACATACCTGCAAGAGTTTATCATAAGTGTCATTCAAGAAATGGTACAACTGGATAATCATCCTTGGGTCATCCTGTGAAAGGTATTGAGATCCCAAAGCAGAAACTCTGGGAACGGCTTCATCACTACGTGTGCCAAAGGAGGCATAAATGCTAAAAAGTAATGGGTTCTGGAGAAAACATGAGGCCCCCTGGTGGGAGTGTGACCCTGACCTTGCTCTGGCTCTTAGAGAAGAACGGGCTTTCAACGTAAAAGAAGTGAAGGCATTATTCAGACATGGAGATTAGACCTAGTGAGTCCTACTTTGTCTGGTATTGTTCTCAGACCTGTTTTTCTCACTTGTAAAAAAGATATTAAATAGGGAAGTAAGGATTAACTAAGAGTATATGAAGTACTTGGTCCACTACCTGATATACACGTAGAGCTTATAAGTATGAGAAACCTCTCAGTTGATTTGAGTGTCACCTTCTCTTTTTCTCACCTGCATGAAGCAAACTGCATTCAGCACTGAGTAAGTTCTCGCCTCTTACCCTGGAGCAGAGAACTACCTGCTCTCTTGCAATTTACTTAGTGTATGGTGTCTTAGCTGATGAGAACTTACTTTGTTTTAATGGCGTGAGTAACCTGACTGAAAATACAAAATATAAAAGAAGCCAGGTATTGCAAAACTTTTGGTTTCTAAAATAACTTTTTTGGGGGTAAAATTTATTTTCAGTAATTTCACAGAAAAATTGTTCACTTTTTTTTTCCTTTTTTTAAAAGATTTTATTTATTTGACAGAGATCACAAGCAGGCAGAGAGGCAGGCGGGGGCGGGGGGTGGGGGGAAGCAGGCTCCCTGCTGAGCAGAGAGCCCGACGCGGGGCTCGATCCCAGAACTCTGGGATCATGACCTGAGCCGAAGGCAGACGCTTTAACCCACTGAGCCACCCAGGCGCCCCAAAACTGTTCACTTTTTAAATTTGGCTAAAGACACCTATGATTGCTTTTGCCACTTTCAAAAATACACATTACACCTTAAGGGTTTCACAAGAATGTCTGTTTATGGGAAGCTGCGTGGCATGATTGAAAAGATGCTATGCCAGTGGGAAAAACCCCTAGGTCCTCATGCCAACTCCACATCTGGCCATCTTTACACAACTTCCTTATGGGAAACAGTCAAGGGACACACTGGGTGAAGTTCATTTTGGAATCAAAACTAGGTGATTAAGTTACATGTTCTGTTACCAAAGCAAGAAAAAAATCATCATGGGAATGGTCTTTAGGTGACACAGAAATCAGACACCTTATTAAGCAGATAAACAGAACCAGGTAGTCTGTCAACTACAGACATAACACACTCAGCATGCTCCAGTGTCCGAAGATGCCGTGCATGCAGACCACCACTCGGCCATCAGTCAGATAAGGCTTGGAAGACGGGCTTCTGCTTTACCAGGCGGACTGGTTACTTCACTTCTCTGAGGTTCAGTTTCCTTTTCCTCAAAAACCCTAAAAATGAACCTTACAACACCTCCTTGGGTCCACTGTTTTGTCCATTATTTTGTATCTGAAAATTTATCATGTGTCAATGTTGTTCTACAGGCCGGGCCGTATCATGTAATAAAAAATGATATAAAGAAAAAATTAAAAACAGTGATGTGACAAGAGAATGCCTGGTAGGTGGTTTTAGGGGAGGATGTTCGAGCTGGGGCCTGAGCACCTAGTAGCCTGCTATGGAAAGATCAGGGGAAGAGCAGTTAACATAAAGGGAAGTGTGAGCAGCTTGGCCAGTTAAGGAACAGAAGAAACATTAATATCGCTAGAGAGTAAATGAAGGAAGGAAAAGATGGCAGGAAAAGGTCAGGGACTCCGCAGGCTTGAGCAGAGATTCTGGATTTAAGGGGGCTAGAAAGCCAGTGAGAAGTTTTAAGAAAGGGTTTAAGTATAGTATTAAGAAATTAAATAAAGAAATTAAGAAAACCATTAAGAAATGGTTTAATGTATGGTATTACTTATGTATTTATGTATTCATCTGGCTGCTAGGTGAAATGCATCGTTAAGGGAGTGAGAAGGAAAGCAATGGGAGGCCACTCATATGTTCTAGGAGACACGTTTATAGATTCACTAGGACAGAATTTGTGGAGATGGAGAGAAACGGACAAATCTGGAATGTTTTAGAAAGGCCAATACATGTCAAGAGTTAAAAGATGTAAGAAATGAAAGGATGAGGTCTGTTTTTTGTTTGGACAAAGGTCCTACCGCTAACCAAGATGGGAAAACTAGGGGAGAAGCAGGTGGGGGCTGGGAGTGGGGAGGAAAACTGGATTCAAGAAGCTCACTGTGGACAGGCCCCTCTGAGACACCCAAATGGAGACGGTCAGGGAGGCAGTTGGATACACACACTGGGACCTGAGGTGAGAGTTTCTGGCAGAAACAGCATGTGAGGGTGCGGCACAGAATGAGGGGACCTAGCGGGGTAAGCGGACCGAGAACAGATGTGGGGTCTGGATCCAAGGCCTTGGTCCCCTGACATGGAAAGAATGGACGTGAAGATCAAGTGAGACCGTGTACAGGATATGCTCACTCAGTAAGGACCCGGGGAAGGATAGGCGCACATTAGGCAGAGTGTCGGATGCAGTGCACTGGAAGGTTCTCTGCTCCCTGTCTGCACAGAAGGGGATGCCACAAGGTTTTTATGAAAGACTATGAAATGGTGATAACCTATTTCTTCTTCCTAGTCTCATATGCATTGTTTCCCAGGAGGACAAGAGCAGCCTGAATGTGTTTAAATGACTGCATCCAGACAAACACCGTCCTGGGACGCAGCACGATTCCCACCCTGGAGGAGCGGCAGCCGAGTCGGACCAGGTGGTGCCTCTGTCACCCGGCATCCAGAGTCACCCGGTGTCCGGAGCGGCACCCTTACCCGCTGAGGACGTGAATACGCTCCGTGTTGTACTTCAGGGGCGTCAACTCGCAGCGCAGAACGTGAAGGGCCTCTAGGACCTTGCCGTCCTCTAGGTACTCCAGGTACTTCTGCTGCAGCAGCAAAAACTTCATCCTCTGACAGGACAGAAAGCAGCAGTCAGGGGAAAGAAGCTGACGGAAGGTTCAGAAAATGTTTGTGCCTAAACAGAACAGTAGAAACCATTCTACTACGCCCTTTGACAATCACTTCTTAAAATGCTTTAAGATGATTCAAACTATTTTGGTTTAATATAGTCACAGTAGATTAAATGTTGACTTTGCTCAATTCCACATCTTAATAAAACTCTGCTTTGAACCAATAATCTCAAATTAGGTAAGACCATTAGCAACCAAGGCATCACCAGAGGAAAAAATGAACTCTGCCCTTAGAACATTCACCTAGAATTGTATTCTTGCATGAAAATTCAGAACCCTTCCAGGTATTCTAAATTTGTTTTACAAGTCTGACTCTTACAATAGGGCTTTAAGGGGTTTTATGACACAAGTTTTGAAAAGAGGGAAGAAACACTGGTTAATGGAGTACAATTACTTAAAACCTGCAGTGTGTCAGAAGGATTAAGCAGACCGCCAAGCAGAACTAGAGGCTTGGGGCAGAGGTCACGGAGCATCAGGCATGCCTTATGGAAGAAGAGCTGTCCAGCAAAAGGCCTAGAGGTCCATGCGCAGAGTGGGCCAGCGTGAGTCTGATGGCCTCGCCCTTGCTAGGAGGTCTATGACAGAAGGCTGAACTCTAAAGTTTGCAAAAGGAGTATCTGTGTGTTCTGCTCATAGCCTGCTCGCTGAGGCATTTAACTACGGGACACAGGCAATTATGACCAACTCGTTTCTCCCAAAAGGACAAACTGTTTCTAGTTTGTGGTGAAGCACTTTTGCACTGAGTTTTTCCCTGAAATGTGTTTGGCTCTAATACTCTTTAATGTCCCTTTACTCTATTATGATACTTTTAACTGGAAAGCGATCATCATGATCTTAGCAGCTTTTCTGTGAAGAGAAATACTTATGACTATCAAGTTGAAACTTTTCTACAATAGAAGACCATTGCTCGGAGGTACTCTTTCATCTGATCTGCTAACTTCGGCTCTGGAGCAAGCCGACAGATACAGGTACGGATGTCAGTGGATGGAAAATGTCAGCCATATTTAGAGACCCCAAGGCATACAGTGGTCAAGATTTTGAACCTACTTAAAAGAAAACACCAAACAAGAGCTTCTTCTTCCTCAGTAAAACATTAAGTATACATATATTGTTCCAAAATGGTGTGGAGAAATGATCATTTTTTCAGAGTACCATGAACTTCTCTGCAAGATTTCCTAGTTGGGAGTATTTAGAACAAAGGCCTACCTACAAGCCTCTAAAAATGGTTTCTAGGGAAAGTAAACAAAACAAACCCCGTCAGTTAAGGCAGGCCGACATTTAAACACTTCTTTTGTAAGATGCATTGCATATGTTTGGTGGTAATCTAAACTTAAATCTGTAACTAAAGAACAGAAAAAATTTCAAACTATCAGATGAGCTCCTGTAACTCCAGAAAAACTACCTTTACCAAATTTTACACATCACGTTAGATAGACTAATGAACGCTTCAGAAACAGATCGGTTATCAAGATGCACTGAGAAGTGTGTTGCTGCATGTGGGGCCAAAAGTTAACCTGTATTATGTCAAAGAAAAAAATACTCTGATGTCCATCAGGTGACAAAAACCAAAGACTAAATAAAACAATTTAAGAATCAAAGGATTTTACATCTGAAGTTCTTCTGGATAGCCTCCCCATTTTATCACCCAAAAACAACCTGCACTCTTTATGAAAGGCAGAGTTTATAGATTTCCCTTTACTGATATGGTCACATTTTCATTTCACATAGCGTTTCTGATTCAAACCTGAGAATCATGTTTAGCTGCACTATTTTTTCATTTAAATGCCACACGGAACTGGCCAGTATGTGTACTTGGTTTCTCCACTCAATTTTCTTAGCAATCGGAAATCTGGAGAAAATTATTTTCCATTATTTATTTTTGGGGGTGTCAACCGTGAGGTCCTAGGTACAGCCCCCATTCCAGTGTGTGTAGGGACAGTGCCCCAAGTGCTATTTCCCCCTTATTTCCCCACCAAGATCCTGCTGGAACATGCTCTTGTCTTTCTACAGGGCAGGGAGGGAGTGGGCCAAGGGAAAACTGTGAGGGGAGCTGACTCAAATGCATTTCTGGACACACAGGGCACACTATAAAGACGGTGTGCAGACATTTTTCTAGGAGTCATTTTTTCCAGATGAAGACAAAGAATATCCTCACACGGGTATGGAATCCTGGTAGTGTGCACGGCAGCTGAGAGGTTGCTGGCCAAGCACAGCTAGAGATTCGGTTGAAAGATAAAATGCTTATTCTCCTAAAAATCAGTTCAGTTTGTATTTGACACATATGGTACGGATGGAGAGTACAAGTGCATTTTACTTCCCAAAATGTAAACATAATTTCAAGAAAATAAACACCTTTCACAAATGATGTTAATTATTTAAAGTTTTAAAAATTCAGGCAAAACTGAAGTTTGTTGAGGTGGGGACAGAGCTTAATGAACCCTCCCCTTTTTTTTAAAGACCGCAAGTTGGGCGGCGCCTGGGTGGCTCAGTGGGTTAAAGCCTCTGCCTTCGGCTCAGGTTGTGATCCCAGGGTCCTGGGATCGAACCCCGCATCGAGCTCTCTGCTCCACGGGGAGCCTGCTTTCTCCTCTCTCTCTCTCTCTGCCTGCTTCTCTGCCTACCTGTGATCTCCATCTGTCAAATAAATAAATAAAATCTTTAAAAAAAAATAAAGACTGCAAGTTTCCAAAATGAAGAAAAGAAGAAAGAGGCTGAGAAAACAAACTGCCCTTTATAGCTGCCCCCAGCTCCCAAAGAGACCTCTGTGAGAGCACTTCTGTTCCCTGATCATCTCCCACCGTCTTTTGGCCCAGGTTGTCTGTCTGTCTCTTACTATACAGCCGCACCGTGAAAGACAGCTCCACGTGGTAGGTCCTGCTGCTGTCGTGCCGCCCCTCATCCTACCCAATATTGGGACCACTGTACCCTCTCCTCCCACTGAAATGTCCTGACCTATTTGAAGGAAAAGTCCAAGGCCGTACGGACTATACAGGGGGGCCTTCCAGCTAACTCAGGAGTGGTTCTAACTCTGCAGTAAGGGTTATAACCAAGTTGTATCAATTAAACCATGACTCAGAGGAAAGGGGAAATGAATTATATTTAAACTATGGGTTTCAAAGCCCTATTTAACTTTAAAAAACAGTAGTTAATTTCTGTCCATGAAATTAGTATTTGAACACTTTTTTAAAGCACATTTCTATTATACTAAAAAATAAATACAGATTTTAGATAGAGGAGTTTCCCATATTACTGGCCTCTACTACCCATCCAAACTCCCCCGACATGGTGAAGCACATGTGAACCCAAACTGAATAATGTTGATTCATGAGCTCACTTTCCAGAAAATCCAGAGCAAATTCTGCTATTGCTGGTACCATCTGACTGGATATCATTAAGAAATATGGGGGGTAGGTGGGGAGATCAGAGAGTGGATTGGGTCAATAAAAATGTTCGGGCTTAAAAAGGAAAATATAATTGTAGACTTGATTAAGTCATCAAATGCGTCTGGGCATACAATTAAAATAATTATGCTAAAAAAAAGTCCCAAATAGTTGACTTCTATGGTATTATTACAGTTACCCTGAGACTGGGTTCTTTTCTGGAGATAGAGTCAGAGAGAGGAGTAAATCTGAACACAAACTAGAAGGGTTAAAAAAATGCTGAACTGAATCTTAAACCTGGAACCCCTTTCTTTGTACAAATACCTAAACAGTTTGATGGTATGAGGCTTAGCCAGAGATTTAACCTTCATTTTATTAGATGCTGGAATGTTCTATAGACTGAACAGGCTGTAAAAAGAAAGGACTCTTCCTCATCATCTACAAACTGCCTTTCCTGAGTTTACATGTTGCTTCTAATGAAGGTTTCAGGTGAGACAGTCATAATCTAAAACCAACACAGTAGCCCTACATTTCTATAAACAAGTAAGAAAAAATAGAAAGTGACCCTATTTAAATTTTTACTAAATTACAAACACAATTTGAAGTGAAGCTTTAAAAAAGGTAAACAGTTCTTCCAAAACTCACTTAGTTTCTGTCTTTATTTTTGGGTCACCTTCCATTCCATCAGAGCTAGTAATTTATGAGAAACTGCCCAATTAAAATACACTTAGATTCCTTTTTTTTTTTTTTTTTTAACCCCCAAACACACTGATTGGGAAAAATTTAAGTTGCTGGGAAATGTATAATCCTTCTAAATGTAGGTGTTTATTTTAACTTCTGTGTTTTCATTTTTTAATATTCACATGGAACTGGTCATTCCATGAGTTAATTTATTATTAATCACCTGATTCCACAGTAAGTAAAAATTTTAGTTTATATGTTCATACTTGTTTGCACCTTCAATTTGCCTGAGGTTCATTCTCTAGAAGTATACATTATGGTATAAAATTATATTACGAATTTGAAAACTTTTGTAATTAAGATTTCCCCCCCAACAAAAAAAAGCCCGAAAAACAAAAACAAGAGGCTCTATTAGGTTTACAGACAAAGGCAGCAAGATTAATGTTTGACCCAATTAAAAAAAAAAAAATCAAAAGGTAACAGTAGTCATTTACTAATATTTAACAAACAGCTGGTTTCCCTACTTGACTTCCTATTGGCCTCCTTTCCCTCCCCCACCAGACAGGAAACTGCTTCTGACAACAAATGAATCAGCTAGAAGTTAAAAGGCCAGCAGCCAGCAGCTGATTCTTCATGGTTTCCAATCGTAGGCACTTAGAAAAACTTATCCTTCTCCTTTCCCTCACTGACATCTATAGAAGAATTAAAGCCTACCAGTAGAAAAGATTCAGTAAGATTTATGAAAGAGGCTAACAAGTTGGACTACTGAACTGATCTTGTCGGGGAAATAAGGCCTGTGAGCATGGCCCAATGGTCAAATCTGCACACAAACCCTGCACCAGCGTCATCCACAATGTACATACTTGGACACTGTCAATGCACACAACTGGAATGCAAGAGTGGAAAATGGTGAACACACCAAAGGAGCTGCTTTGAATTAACTTAATTCCCAAAGATTAAAAGGAACAAACAAACAAAAAAAGACAAATCATGTACCAGCTACTTAAGGCTATAGGATACACACACATCCAAATACATTTCCTCTGCCAGCACATTCAGTATAAATAATGTGAAAGTATAATTTAGCTTTGATTCCACAAATATAAAACTGCTATTAACAGCACTGAAAGCATGAAGATCTTCCAATTAATTTCTAGAAGCTTAATTTATGAAGTAGGTTCAAATGACACATTTACTAAACATGGTTTTAAAAAGATAAAACTCAAAATTTTAAAACATCAACACTCATCTTGGTTTACAAACTTAATTACATGAACTTTAACTATTTTTAGGCCTTATCTCTTATAAGAGACAGAAACCTAGGATTATCAATAACCTATGAAAATAAGCATGAATGTGAAACTAAGAACAAAAGTGTATTTACCACAATTATTCCCAACAACGTTTGAGAGATTTCAAGTGCGCCTCTTACCACAATAGCATGAGGAGAATGCACTAAAGGCTTTAGTTCATTCAGGTCATTTTCTGCCTGCAAAAATTGGCATAAAAGAAAAACAAAAATGTCACAAAATGCACATTCCAATATATAATTTTAGCAGCACACAGCTCTATATGCCCTACTTTACCTTCTCCCAGTCTCCTTCCATGACATGATTTCGGAATTTGGTGGCAGAAGGATGTTCTAAACGACATCCTGACTCTTGCATGAGGAGATCAACAGTCTGGCTGCAGGAGAGATACAGTGTAAAAAAGACCTGGCCAACTTGTAGGATTCACTCTTCTAAAACAACTCATGTCCATAAAAACAGTTGCAAAAGTTTTCAAGCTAACCTCATGATGGAGAAAAAAAGAAATCATTTTTTTTTTTTTTAAACTGTGTTTGGCTCAACAAACTTGCATTTTGAAACGGCCACCGTGGAGTTTTATCTAGTCAGGTTAAAAGCCTTCTTGAAACCAGTTTCAAAATAAGTTCTTCTAATTTTTACCATTTAACGCCTCAGAAGTTTAGTGAGGTATAAAATCTCCAAGAACACGTTGTAACCAAGTGGTTAAATAAATAAAAACCAGGCTTTCCCTACTAACCACGTTACAACAGTTCAAAAGATAGAAACTGTTAGCTCCAGACAAGGCAAGAGAGAGGACCTGGGTCAGGGAAGGGCCTTACATCCAGACGTGATGTTTGCAAAGATATTCAACTAGGTCAATCTTCAAAATTAAAATAAATTCAGCATCAAAAATCACTCTCTCTCTATACTAAAAATAGCAAATTTACTACGGTGTAGGTTCCAAACAGTCACGAGTTATTTCCTCCTGCTGCTGTCAGCTTGCTTCTTGTCTCAATAACATGTTCTGTTAGCATTTACAAAATCTGTTTTCATACTAATCCTTCTCCTTAGGGAACAAAGTGAAATCTTTCAAAGACCTATTTCTCTTTGAGAGCTGAAAAAAATCTACCAAATGCAGTTTGTCTCATCAGATATTTAGATACCTAAAATCTTCACCAGTTTTCCCTATTTGTGTTTGTTTCAATGCTTTCTCATTCATCTCTGTTTATTTTTCAGCTAAACAGTGCCACAGTCTGCCAGAGAATCAAAATACTTGGGTCACTTTTAAAAAGTGCTCCCCTCACTTCCCCTTCCAGGGAGAACTAATCTGTAAATCCAAAACTACACCTAGGCTAGCCCTAAGAGCTTTTGGCCTAGGATTTGAAGCTAGGAAAGGGACTGCTGCATGTTTCCCCCCTTTGGTCTTCCTCTGGCTAGGCTTCACCCCACCATCAGGACTCCAGGGCATTCTCCACCCTGGTCCTACCTTCCACCACCCCCCTGGCTTTTCCTTTGTGCATACGGGTTGGTGGGTTCACCTTATTTTAGGTGCACAAGGCCACCGACCTTGTATTTGAAAATAAATTATTCCCCAGATCAGAGTTCTCTTTCTCACAGGCACTCTCTTGGAATTCAAGTGGGATTTCGGGAGACCGGTTAGTGGTAGGCCTCTCGCACATACACAAGGGCCTTTAAATGACATCAACAGGGCATTTCACTCGGTCGCTCCCATCAGATTTATTCCACAACCTCCTTCCAAATTCTCCCAGCCTCTCAGTTCCCATGAACACTTGTAGGCGATTGTCTTTCCTGATTGGTGGTTGGCCTGGGTTGTCTGTCATAGTTGGGGGTGGGGAGGTGTCCCACAAAGATGCCTCTGAGATATACTTGAAAAACAAATCCTCCAAGGTTCATTATTTCCAGCAGCTCGAACGCACCCCTCCCCCACCATGCGAAGACACACTCCCGCATCTGTCTTTATTGACAGACAATTCAGCTCCGAAGGTGTGCGGGCAGGGGGCAATGTCCGGGTTTCCTGTCCCCCTCCCCGAGCCCGCCGCCGCCTGTCTCCGTCTCCCCTCTAAGCCCTGCAAGTCAGCTGCTCCTCCCCGTCCTCCCCCGGCCCGCAGCACGAACGCTCTCCCGGGCCGAGCTCCGTCCGGCCCCCCTCCCCCACGCGGCCTCTGGCCCTCGGTCCGTCCACACCAGCCGCCTGGAAAGGACACTTACTTGAGCCCTAAGCCATTCAAGTGCTGTCCTATTAGCCTAATGACATCCTCGTCGGACTGGGAGAGCCGCTTCTTCTTCTTGAGGCTGCTGCCCAGCTCTGGGGTGGCCGAGGAGGCAGCGGCGGCGGCGGCGGCCGAGGCGGCGGCAGTGGCGGCCCCGCCGGGGACCCCGTTATTGACATTCAGGCTGTTGCTATTGTTGCTGGCGGCGGAGGGGGCGGAAGGCAGCAGCCCGTTGGCGTGAGCCAGGTCCCCCGCGGACGACGACGACGAGGGGGACGACTCCCCGTTCTGGGCCGACAGGCAGGCCAGCTCCTGGGTCTGTCCCTGGCCCCCGCCGCCCCCTCCGCTGCCGCCGCCGCCGCCGCCGCCGCCTCCTCCTCCTCCTCCTGCCCCGTTGGCCTGCATGATGCTGCCGCTGACCAGGCTGTGGCCGCTACTTCGGTGGGGGGCGGCGGCGGGGGCAGCGGCCGGGGGCAGTCCCACCACCACCACCACGGAGGAGGAGGAGGAGGAGGACGACGACGACGACGAGGACGAGGACGACGAGGACGGAGGGGAGAGGCCTGCTCTGCCTGCCGAAGCCCCGGGCTCTCCTGCTCCCTCCGCCGCCGAGGCTCGGGGTTTCTTCCGCGGGGGCGGGGAGGCTCCGCCGGCGTCCGAGTCGGAGGAGGAGGAAGCGGAGGCCAGAGTTTCCTCGCCGAGAGAGGCCGTGGTGGGAAGCCGGCGGGGCGAGGCGGGGACCGGGGGAGGGTCGGGGCGAGAGGGCCGGGGGCGGGAGGGGTCGGGGCCGGGGCGGGAGAAGGGAGAGGAGGAGGGGGAG